CGCCCGGCTAACGCCGGGCTTCCCTCCTTCTTATAGGTTCGCCCGGCTTAGCCGGGCGCTCCTCCTCCTTGCAAGAAATTTGCTATGCGTAAATAAAACTTCATATTCTCCTTTTCTTTGAAAGCTCTACACCCTCAATATTAGCTCCGAATTGGGAGCAATGTTTCTGTATTATAAATGATTATATACTATTTAAAAGTCTCGATTCATTGCTCTTCATTTCGAAGATGTGTCAGATTGCTGGCTTAACTGATTGACAACCATTGTCTTGAATGGAACCCAGAAATGGATAATAACGCATATCACAGATGTCGCTATCAATGGAACATGGAATTTTTCATTAATTTGGATCTCAAATCATTAGCGGTCAGATGAGTTTAGTCACAAATGATATGTCACATTACAAAAAAGTATCGTTGCGCTTCATCGTATCACAAAGCTTACTGCATAACGGTCGTAGTTTGATAGTGAAAAATGAACAATGTTCTCATTTCGTTATGGAGGAATGTCTTTGATCTGTCGCTATTACTGCATTCAAACGTCTTATTGAATGAACCATTTCAAAGAGTCAGTGTTTAATCATGAATCCGCTTTTGCTCTCTAAGGCCCCTTATCAGTTCTTATCAATTGTTATCAGTTCCTGTCACAGAGTACCTACGACCACGACACATCCTACATTGCCATCATTGCAAAGGTTCCACTGTTGACAACGAAGGGGATTGCAAAGCTTGCTCGCTTTTTATTATGTTATTGCTGTGAGTTCTGAATTTGGAACCTAAAATTTCTATCGCGCATGCCCCGCCCCTGTAGGCGGAGTTCGATCTTGCCACTAGACATAAGTGTTCCCATGCCGCTCCCTCTAACCCTACCAATTTTGAATGCTTTGGGTCCACTGGAATAGGAGTTATGAACTTGCGACCTAAAATTTCGATCGCGCACGCCCCACCCCCGCGGGCGGAGTCCGGTCCTGCTACCTGTCGTAAGTGTTCCCATGCTGCCCCCTGCACTCCTGCCGAATTTGAGCTTTCTAGGTCTACTGGAACAGAAGTTGTGAATTTGCGGCCCAAAACTTCTAACGCGCCCGCCGCGCTTCCTGTAAACGGAGTCCGGTCCTGCCACTCACCCCTCAGGTGTTCCCATCCCGCCCCCCTTACTCCTACCAAAGTTGATCTTTCTAGGTCCACGGGAACAGGAGTTATGAATTTCCGGTCAAACACACACACACACACACAAACACACACAAACACACCGACACACCAACAGACACACTTAGCGAATTATACTGAAGTAGGATACAGTCTTAATCCCTAATTCACTGGGTCCCTCTTTGACCCCTTTATCTCCAATACAGAGTATTCACCCGATTTATTGAATACGCTTGTAGAAACTTTATCCCCAAGACATTGTTATTCTCTGATTCTGCGGATACCCACTGTAGCCACTTTATGGGAGGCAGACGGTCGGTCAGCCCCTTTGAAGGGCTGAAAACAAAAAAGAACTAGATCAAAAACCAAACAAGCAGGGGCTTGTGCAAATGGTTTTTGATCTTGTCTCCCTTTGTTTACAGCCCTTCGAAGGGGCTGACCGACCGTCTGCCTCCCTCCTCCCCCCTATACTACCTCGGCACGCCAACACGCCAGAACGCCAGCAGCCAGCACGCCGGCACGCCAGCACGCACGCCGGAGGACTATGAAAGCAGCCACTGAGTAGCACAGAGTCGTTCGGATGCGCACTTCGACATCACAAATGTTTGTGATGGTGAGTCGATACAAAAGACGGTGCAGTCACATTAAAAGCCCGGCCTGAATGGGGAATCGAAGGCCTAGTTGGCTTGATACCTCTACCCGGTCAGGCTTTGCTGACAAAGGAAAAAACTGCTCCGGATATTTCATTTTAAACACTCCTAGCCCAGCGGCCATTAGAATTTGCCCAATCAAATTCTGAGACCATGCATATTAGCTCATCCACACTAACAACATTTGCAAAGTATCTGCTTCAAGAAGAATGACATTAAACTGATAGGCTGCTTTCATAGTCCGCCGGCCGGCCGGCGTGCCAGCCGAGGCAGTGCTAGGGGGAAGAAAGGAGGCAGACCGTCGGTCGACGCGGTCGCGTCGCGCCCAAGCTCCTTCGAAGGGCTGTAATAAAGAGATAAGATCAAACCATTCGTACAAGCCCCTGGTTAATTGGTTTTTGATCTTGTTCTTCTTTGTTTTCAGCCCTTCGACCGACCGTCTGCCACCCTCCTCCTCCCTAGCACTGCATCGGCTGGCACGCCGGCACGCACCCCGGCGGACTATGAAAGCAGCCAGTGGGGGGGGGGGGAGTGTATGGGAGTATCTTGGAACAGGTTTCATGAATGCCAAAAAACCGTGTCCGATGTTGAGCCAATATCCAAACCAGTACCCAGTGCCAGATATTCGTCCTTGCAGAATTTCTGTTCTCGATGATCCTCTCGATCTTTAGGTTAGAACAATCTTTCAAAAAAATTATCGGGTTCAATAAAGCAGTATAAAATAAAAACTTCTGTCGTGACAAACTTATTTGAGCTAATTACAAAGATTACTGCCCTTCATATCGGTCGCACATCAGGTATCAACGCGGAGACTCAGAAGTGGCTGTAAGAACGCTGCTGTAAGTAGTTAAAAATTCAAAAATAAGACTTTAACTCATTTTCGTCGTCGAAGTGGGTGGGCAAGGCAAGATAAACAGAATATATGCGGAAAGCACATAGGAAATCACATCGTAGCGCTTGTGATGGGCTCTGTAGTCGAAGAAAAGTTGAGACGCACGACTCTTACATTCCCCTACTATACTACTACTATTCCGCTACTCCTTTTACAGGACTCACTGCCTATACCTTAATTCCTTAATCATGATTGTAAATGATTGTTTTGCGTCATTAAATGAGCCTACCCAACGTGCCGTTGCACTTTTCCAAGACACTGACCAATATTTCTACTAAGAATGTTGTACAACTTCTTGCAAACGTGCTGTGTTCCACAAAGCATATTCACGTAGAATTTATAAGATCATACTAGTAGTTTATATGAAGCAGAGATTTCATTTGAATATGGTACTGTGTGAATCACTATTTGGCTTGAAGCGAGATTCGCAGGTAACAATAGGTTAAACCTGACGGCATTTTGATTCTCAGTGGCCAAAAAAAACGTTTCAATAACGGTTAGCGTATCACCAAGATGTAACAAGTGTTCCTTCAGGATAGGCATACAAGATGTGGCTGATGGGCAAGTGGACCTCTCCATCCTTTCAACTATGGCGCGAAATACAATTTTTTCTAGAATTAATGTTGCTCAAACCACATGTATGACTAAATTCACTCTCTGCGAGCCTTCCATTTCCTGCAGAATTTAATCAACCGGTTTGATATAAAGCACTCCATCTCTTGATTTGCTATTTATTAACCATACCATGTGATGAATAATGTGACATTCGGTTTAGCCAAAGCGGATGAACTCGTTCTTGCGCTTTGCAACTGAAACTGTTCTCACGGTAAGCTATCAACTCAACGGTAGTAGCGCGGCTTGCTTACCATGTGGCTCAGTCTCAGTCGAATCAGATCGTCCAAATCTGTAAAAAAAACTTCGCTACGATATGATAGTGGATAATTTAAACATATTCCCCTACCGGACAAGGTCATCACCTCTTTTGCCGAATCGTATAAACTCATTCTTCCTTTTGACATTGCTGAAAAAATGAATACAATGACAACAGCTATTTACCACTGTGGCAATCTGCTTGTAAACATTGTGAATGGAATCATCATAGCTTGGGTTCATAATTTACTAGGATATATGGTACAAATTGGTCACACAACGTCGTGAGGGGAAATTGGTATCATTTAATGCGCTGCCTCTATTGATGGACTTCAAAGTTACAGGACTCATCCATTCTCTATTGCAACCACACCCACCGTCTTTCGCGTTTCCCAGAGCAAATTAAATCGTTTTTCCTTTTCTGCAATGATGGCTCCACTAGTTCATTAAGCACTGTATCTGAACGCAAACTGTATTCAATTCCATTTCAAAAAATGAAGTGTTTCATAGCATAGTGAGAAAACCTGCTCGTTGAAGTAGGTCTTGGACAAGAGGATTCGATACGCCGTTATTGTTATTGCTCTGAAACCGTTTTCTTGATATCCATTGACACTAGTGACGTTACTGACGCTTGAAAACAATTGCTAGTACTCCGAAATGTGCGGCATCACATTCCACACACACATCACATTCCACACACAATAGAGGAGTTGGAGGCAACGTAGTCTAGTCAGTGCTCAGATCACTCAGTACCTCGAATGATGAGACTACTAAAAAAACTCAGACATCAAGCACAAGTTTTAGAAATTCTAACCATCCCTGTTGGTAACGAAATTTTCCTAACTTTGACAGTGCTTATTACAGGGAACTAGTTATCCACTTTCTAGGATGAACCAATGCTATTGAGAAAGTTGTCCTAAGCAATTTTCATCATTCATTCAGACATCTTCAAAAAAATGGGAGCACACCCTGGTTCTGATGGTGAAGGCAAGACGAATCAATTATGTCTAATGTACTTCGTGCCAAGAGACGAACAAGACATACCTCAGCCTTTACATTGTACTCATCATGACCAATTCTGCGGAAATGTTCTGGAAATGCGGCAACATCACTTCTGTAGCTAGCGACAGAAGCAACAATGGTAGCTACCACCAAGACGAAAAGCATTCCAAATAATGTGTCAGTTGCTTACCCGCCTTATGTACCTCCTCGACCCGCCCCCACATAATATCACCCAATGGTGGTATGGCGTTCTCATTTTCACAAAAGTACCTACACTCCATGTACAAGATCTGAATACCTCATCGAATTGTTGCATTGCAAGGTCATCTCGGAAACCTCTTTCGCAGCAGAATCCAAAAAGCGATAGCAAAATTTTGTATCACTGATAACTGAGATGGATTGGAAGAAATAGTTTTCAAGCGCAGTACGATAATAAGCGCATCATTGAAGCAATCTCAGAGTGATGATTTCTAAGGACTACAAAACTGTTGGGCTCTCATCAGTCTCCCAGCAAAGCCGCACATATGATAGTTCGCCTTCATAGTCTTTGGCATGCTAATAGCGTTAGGCTGTTTGAAAAACTTCAACAACTAGATGACATCACTTGACATAAGCGCTGAAACTTTACTTTGTGCCGGGTTTCCAGAAGTTCACAGTTTAACAACAAAACTGCATCTCCATATCGAACAGCAAATGCATTTGGGGGTCCAGGAAGTTTGCAAGGTTAGGTAATATTTAATGGAGGGAAACATTCCTACTGTAGCTCTTGCGTGTACGTGATGCATGTCATTTGCCTGAGTGGTTCAACTGAATTTGTTTCCCCAACTAACTGTGCTATCCAAACGTGTATTTCTTATAAGCTGAAGCTAGAACAATTTATTGATCTCAAAGGTTCTCTAGACATTGTAGGCGAGTTGGAAAGAATTGCTGCGGATTCGCAAACTCAAAACCGGCGATCTCACTGAAGTTGGAAATGCTCTAATAACGGCAATAATGCAACGAGAAAGCAATGAAAACTGTCGTATTACTCTCCATTTTAAAACGGTAGCACACAAAGATAATAAATGTATTTGACATTGAAGATGAGTCACGACATGAATATGAATTCCCACGATATTCTGAGATTTTTATGCTTATATTCTAAGGGCTCAAAACTGGCTTGTCATGTTAGGATTAATGTGCAATATCATGTGTGGCAGTGGCTTGTCTGCTAGCAAGCAAAAAGGTAAAAAACCAATATCAATAAGGCAACAACTGAAATGTTGTATTGCAAATGATACATATACGAAAGGATGCGAAATGTACTCAGAAGTGCTGAAAAAACCGAAAGTAAAAAAAAAAATGTGAATGTGAGAAAAAATGTCCTAGTAGTTATCATAAGTAGAAGGTCTTTATGCGCGGCACACAGTACTTCTGAATTATAGCAAGAGGTTGTATGGCACAACGTGTTTCTAGGTGATGTTTCGAACACCCAAAGCTCTCGAGCTGCAACAATTACAACATCACACCTGAGAGCAAGTGACCTTCCAATGTTCTCACGTACTCCTAATTTGACGTCAGAAATATTTGAAAGGAAAAAATGATTGCAGGGTAATAAGCTTTTATAGATCAAGTCATAAGCGAACCACATTTGGGGAGGTCGGGAGGTTGACTGAAACTAAACATTCATCTGAACTGCTTAAGAGCGGATTTATTGAGCGCACTATATGAACTTATACAGTTTAAACCGAAAAGAAGGACGTGAAAAGAACACTGAGGTGAGTAAACCACAAAGTCGATGACATTAGGTGACGAACAGTGCATTTTCAGACTAGCCCTGTTCATGCATGTTGTAAATCGATTGGAGAGTACGAAACTTAACGCTAGCATCTCCACCACAGGAAAAAAGACGAAGCTGTTGATCGACATAAAGTTGCTGTACACCTTGAGCTGGCGATTGTGCAACTGAATTGAATATAGCAAAATTAAAAGTGAAAAAAAAAAGCAAAATTGGCTGGAGGGACAAGTGGAATGATTACAAACCTTGTCTAAATGAGAAACCTGGTTTAGCCGCATGTTCGCCAAGCAGCGCATACTTTAACTGAGGATTCATGTCTGCAGACCAAATCTGAAACACATCAAAAGTTTCAGCAGTGTGATACCATATATACAGTGCGTTTCATAATTATAAGGTCACCCTCGATTTTTGCGATTCTGGAGAAAGCAGCCGGAACGGAATTTTTTGGTAAACACAGGAAGATTCCTCATCACAATGTACCTCAGTATTCAAATTTTGGTCGCAATATCCTTCAACTCGAATTTCTTTTGAATTTTTCAAAGACAGTGTCGGCTTTTGCACCGTTTCATAATTACAAAGTCACCTTGAGAAAGTAAATGATTTATCAACGTAGATGGCATATGTACAACACTTAATAATCTCTAGCTCCTCCTTGTTTAAGAGCAACATCAAAGAGCCTGTGTGGCATACTAGAAACTAGGTTTCAAAGACGTTCCTCATCGATTTCTCTCCATGCTTCGATAATCGCCTGCTTCAGCTCTTCTGTGCTCTGGAACTGACGATTATTCGCACAAACCTGTCTGTCTATCATGCCCGAGATATTCTCCATCGGATTGAGATCGGGACTGCAGGCTGGCCATGGCAGGCCGCTTATTTATTGACATTGCAGCCACTCTTCCGCTGCACGGCTCACATGAATGGAGGAGTTGTCTTGTTGAAAGACATAGTTGAGGTGATAGCGATGGCATGGAAAGGTTACTATATGATGCTCCAAGACTTTCTGGTAATCCTTGAAATCCATACTGCAGCTCACGACAGGTAGATCCAACACGACATCATTGCAGAATGCACCCCACACCATAGACTTCCTCCACCGAAACTGCGACGGCTGAAGTAGACTGGTTCCTTTCTCAAGTCGCGTCAGTACCGCTTGTTTCCGTCAGGACTGTCTAGATTGAATTTCTTTTCATCCGAAAAGACGACTTGAACAGGAATTATTCAGCTGTATGGTGAGATTTTGATGCAAATCTACCTTTGCCCAATTTCTCCCTAGGTTCATCTCTGCAATCCGAGTCGAGCCTCTCTGTGGCGATCGGTAATTAGTGGGACCTTTTCCACTGCTTGCTTGGTGATGTTCTCGCATCTTCTCACTGCACTCCAGACTGTAGTTTTCGACACAGAGAGGTTTAATTCCGATCGGATCTAGTTCAAGAAGGAAGTAGTGTCGGAAACAGTCCTCAGAATCTTCCGCTCGTCACGGGCAGTAATCTTTCATGGGTGTCCACAGTCGGTGTTATATCTAGGGACATCAGGGCTCTCCAGAAATCTTTGAATGGACCAAGAGGCTCCCCTATTCGCCTGGAGATTGCTCGAGTGCTGAGCCCACCTTCATGATGAGCCTTCTCATCAGAGGAAAGCAGATGACAACGAGCCATGTTGACAGCCAGCTTTAGAAATGCATTTGCTACACATGCTTACCTTTATAAGCATCTTTAAACACGAAATTTCCTTTCTTTCGTTAATAATTGTTCACTTTCTCAGGGTGACCTTATAATTATGAAACGGTGCAAAAACCGATAAACTGTTCTGAGAATGTTCAGAAAAATGCAGCTGCGGCTAAAAAACGGAAACCTAGGTTATTCGTGCTGGGGAATCCGTTCATGATGCCAGAAAAAATCCTTAATGATTGCTTTTTCTGAAAGTGCAAATTTTGAGGGTGACCTTATAATTATGAAACGCACTGTATTAAACGACCAAGTGGGTTTGAGCCCGTTACAAGGATAACCTTAAGCAGGTGCTGTTCGTGAAACATGTTCATATTAAACACTCAGTATGTTTCCATTGTTCTTTATAATTATCTGTTGTTCAGTTTCAAGGAGAAAGATCTCATTTCCAAGAATTTCGTACTGGTGAAGTCGTTTGGGGAGCACTTTTACTCGGTCTTGAAATTTTTGTCACTGAAACCAATTCGCAAACATCGGAAAAGATAGTGTGGCAAAGCGCACTGTTCGACAAAATGATGGGTGACTTGAAGATTTCTCTCGCCACTACATTCCTGGCAGCGCTTTTACGGAGATGTGCAGTCTCGAGTTGTGGAGGTAAAAGATTATGCGTTCCCGAGAGTTTCCGGAAACATAGATTCGTCGTAGAGGCTCATATAGTCCCTTTGATTGCTCAGATTACTTCACGGGCGTGATGGCATCGTCGTAAAGAAGCACTTCAGTAGTAATATTCCTGGGTATAATATGAGGGTATGAGCTTCCCACTGCAACTTCTGCCGCAGCGTTGCTCAACGTACCCTGTGGCAGAAGTTGTAGTGGTGTATTCATATCACCATACCATATCCGATCGCTTATATGTGATCTAATTAGCCGCAAGGCAGTTTATAAGGCAAAAATCTGAAATCCGAGAAAGAGGTTCATTGCCGCTCAACAACATTTTTCAAGGAAACCAAGGTTTTCTTCAACGAAAGAATTGAAAATGTAGGTAATGTTAGAGCACAGTACCTAATATCAATGAAGAATGTATCCGGAAATTATGCACTAACTGTGTGTAAATGTACACACACATGTATATACCTATATGCGTCCTACTGTTGTTGGGGCGTCTATGCGTGAGCACAGTCCTTTCCTTGACGTCGACGTAGCTGCGTAATCCATCATGTGGGAAACAGTTCTGTTTTTATATCGTGTCATTTCGAAGCAGATCTGGTCGTAGCTGTGACCAAGCGAAAAAAATTTTTTTATCACCGATTTCCTGTAGGCACAGTGTTGTCGATTTCATTCCTCTTCAAACATTGAGACAACAAGATGCTGTTACATATCGCGTTCTAGTTTCCCGTCTGGTAGCGTACACCTGCTTTTGTCTCTTAATCACTTGTTTCCAGTAACACTTTGTAGCTTCTCGGTACTGGCCTTATTTTTCTATGGAACAATGCCAAGTTTTATAACTTTTCATTTTCATAGCTCCACTTTCATCCAATACAGCTTTCCCTGAAGCGTCTCTCTTGTGCTTTCTCTGCGCCTAGTGAGAGCCAACGTTTAAATAGTCATTAGAAAATTCGCATCATGAAGATTTTGCTGCAGTAACGATGCACTGGATGGCCCTTGGCAAGCATTGAGTAGTATATGGGTTACATTTTGGAAATTAAGTCTCGAAACGATTCTTCAAAAGCAGAGTTCACGATAGAAACTGTTTCTTAGATTTCCCTCTGGAATTACCTAGGGGCTGCTTTCATAGTCCGCCGGCGCGCCAGCCGAGGTAGTGCTAGGGGGGACGGAGGCAGACCGTCGGTCGACGCGGTCGCTTCGCGCCCAACACCTTCGAAGGGCTGTAAACAAGGAGAGACAATTAATAACCATTTGTGCAAGCCCCTGGTTTTTTAGTTTTTGATATTGTTCTTCTTTGTTTTCAGCCCTTCGACCGACCGTCTGCCTTCTTCCCCTCCCCTAGCACTATCTCGGCCGGCCGGCGGACTATGAAAGCAGCCATTGGCTCCCAGGGGTAAGAAAAAGGACGCTGTTGGGCCCAAAAATCAAGAGCTAGGGCATAATAGGAGCCCCACTACCGGGATCGGTCGGATGCTACGCCCATCGACCTATGTTATGATAGGCGAGTGTCGAAGCGATACGTGTTGCGCTATTCGCACCGGACGCGCACGTTCATGATGCAATCAGCTGTTCGCCGGGTAGTGAGGTAATTTTTTACTCTTATTCTATTACTCTCTGCTGTTCTTTTTGCTGCTGCTGATCCTTATCTTGTTTTTTACATTAAGAATATGAAAAAGGTGGGTTATTCTTGCTGTTGACATGTTTTTGTTAACTGATGCTTATGAATTAATGATTTTAAAAGACATTTTGCTTACTGTAGTCAGCTATTCGCACCAGGACCCACACTAACGCAATGACACCCATTGTAGAGCTCGACCAAACTAGCCCCAATTTTAACGACTTCTCAGAAGCCTTCTCTCACTTTAAAAACACAGATTCGCGTGCTTTTTTCGCCTCTATCCCACTATTTTCAGACCTTCCCTTTCATTTTTGGGTCAGTATCTGAATAATTCAAAAAAAATCGTGAGCTGTGCCTTCAACATCTGCCGATGCTTATGCTTCACGAGTGATGTAAGTGAGTAGTACTGGGACTACGCAGAGTATCGCATTCGCAAATCGTTTAACAATTAGCTTTCATAGGTTCATGTACTCCCAGCTGCAGTTTCGCCACGGACGCTCTTTTCCCCCTTGTTGTTAGTCCCAATGGCATCTTTGTTGAGGTTTTCTTTATAAGGTGATTCTCTTATTGAGTGGTTCTCGGTGGTTAGCTCGCATGCACCGCACTACTACTACATTTTTTCATTTTGTTCTCAATTTTCAATGCTACTACTCCTACATTTATATCCCGAAGTTTTCAGGTGCTAAACTACTCCCAACGATGTAAGCTGTATTTGATGCCCAATGATTATTAACCCATTGACGACCGCGTGGCCCGCATACGGGCCACATCATATTGTGCTCCTGGGACCGCGTGGCCCGTATACGGGCCACAGTGGTATTTTTCATGTATAACACTCGCTTTCAATTTTTTTGACGCTTTCGAGTATAAAGCAGGACTATAACCCTCTATAGAATCTTGAGGCGCAGTGGTCCGTGTATCATTAACTTCCGCCTATAGTAATGACAGAAAACAAAAGTATCTCTGAGGGCAGCGATAAAGGAGCAAGACCAAAGTTTACAAACTAATAAGTTACATGCACTTCTTACGATAACTCAGAAAACATTCCAAATAAAAGTACTTGTGGCATTTGTTGCACCTTGTCGAGACTTTTTTGCATGGTTCATGGCATAAGTGCCACCTTTTTCTTCTCGTAGTTCCTTGTAGCAACCTGTGCATCTTCTTCTGTTTTCCTTTGAGTGGCTCCCAGATCTTACCAATAATAATAATAATAATGATAATAATTGGAATCCACCATCCTAGGAAAAAAAAATATAATTTTAATCATAATTCATGCATGAAGGAGTGTAAAGTTACCCTGCCTTTGAAGACTTACTTGGAAGGATCGAGCGATAAAATAATCCCCACTTTTACACCACATTCGCCAC